AGCTCTTTCCACACTCCATGCATTTATATGGTTTCTCCCCTGTGTGGGTCCTATTATGGACAGTAAGTGCACTGCTATGAGCAAAGGTCTTTCCACACTCCATGCATTTATATGGCTTCTCTCCTGAGTGGATCTTTTTGTGGCCTCTAAGGGCACTGCTCCAAGCAAAAGTCTTTCCACACTCCATGCATTTAAATGGTTTCTCTCCTGTGTGGATCCTTTTGTGGCTTCTAAGGCTACTGCCCTGAGTAAACGTCTTTCCACACTCCATGCATTCATATAGTTTCTCTCCTGTGTGGATCATCTTATGGGAAATAAGAGTAAATCTTTGAGCAAAGGTCTTTCCACACTCCATGCATTTATATGGCTTCTCCCCTTTGTGGATCCTTTCATGAGAAATAAGTTTACTTGTTTGAGCAAAGCTCTTTCCACACTCCATGCATTTATATGGTTTCTCCCCTGTGTGGATCCTTTTGTGGCTTCTAAGGGCACTGCTCCAAGCAAAGGTCTTTCCACACTCCATGCATTTAAATGGTTTCTCCCCTGTGTGGATTATCTTATGGGAAATAAGATGATCTCTTCGAGCAAACGTCTTTCCACACTCTATGCATTTACATGGTTTCTCTCCTGTGTGGATCCTTTTGTGGCTTCTAAGGGCACTGCTCCAAGCAAAGGTCTTTCCACACTCCATGCATTTAAATGGCATCTCCCCTGTGTGGGTCATCTTATGGGAAATAAGATTATGTTTTTGAGCAAAGGTCTTTCCACACTCCATGCATTTAAATGGCATCTCCCCTGTGTGGGTCATCTTATGAGAAATAAGATTACCTCTTTGAGCAAAGGTCTTTCCACACTCCATGCATTTATATGGCTTCTCCCCTGTGTGGATCCTTTCATGGGAAATAAGATGACCTCTTTCAACAAAGGTCTTTCCACACTCCATGCATTTAAATTGTTTCTCTCCTGAGTGGATCTTTTTGTGGCTTCTAAGGGCACTGCTCCAAGCAAAAGTCTTTCCACACTCCATACATTTAAATGGCTTCTCCCCTGTGTGGATCCTTTCATGGGAAATAAGAGTACCTCTTTGAGCAAAGGTCTTTCCACACTCCATGCATTTAAATCGTTTCTCCCCTGTGTGGATCCTTTCATGGGAAATAAGTTGCCTGCTTGTTCTAAAACATTTTCCACATTCCAAACACTTATAAGGCTTCTCTTCTGTGTCAATCGCTTTTTGAGATGTAAGGAACTTATTCCCAAGAGAAAGAATGAATGTCCCATTGTAATTTTGTCCACTGTGTCTTCTTATAGCATCTTCTCCTTTGTTTTGGGTTAAATAGTGTTCATTTACTTGTACTTTAGCTTTGATTAGCTTCACACATTTTCCAGTATATTTTTTCCTTATTTCCTCTTGTTGGGCAAGAAAGTCCTGCATCGGAGCATCAGTGGAAGATGAGCTTTCCTGGTTGAAATTCTTTGACTGGTTTCTATCATGGTTTTCGAATTCCATTCGAATTCCAAACTTCTCCGTTCCATCCTTAGCATTGATCACTTGGAACAGTTCACAAGAATCTTGATTCTCTTGCCCATTATTACCTTCAAAGCAAAAGGGAAATGAAAATGGTAAGTGTTAGGAATCTGTCGACCAATTACTTGGGTTAGCAATATATAAACCAAAAATGTATGTTTGTAGCTTTAAGACAAAGACACTGCATTGATTGTACTATGTTCCAATTGGTTGACTGTATTGTGAATTGCCATAAGAGGGAGCTAGAGATCATAGCTTGCTCTCTCTGACATTCCTTATTTCTGACATTCTGTATCTCTGACATTCTGTTGCTATCTAAAGTTTTTCTGTTGTGCTTATACTTTGATATCTTTGTTTACTGTAAATGACAAAGGCACCCAGTAAGAAGACTTTGTAATTGGATATTCTTTGGACTGTAAAACGTATATGACCTGGACTGTTTATTGGACTGTGCTATTTCTTAGAGTAAACTTTAACTCAATTTAGTGCAGCTGTATGTGGCTGAATAATTATTCATAACTACTCTCATAAACGTTTCCATGTGCATATCCTTGTTACTCAAGGGTTATTCTGTACATATCATAACAAGGTTAGAGAAAAAGATCAAAGTGTAGAAAGTCAAGTGAATTTCCTTCTGAATTTCTCCAAAATTCCATGAGGTTGTATGTTTGCATGCCTACAGTGGTGTGATATAGACATGATGATTTTTATATTCATGAGTCATGAAAGCTTTGAAAATATCTAGACATTCCTTTCTTTACAATTATCTATATATATGCAAATCTCACTCAGAGTCAGTTTCAAGTTAAGGAATAATCAAGGGAAACATCCAAGGAGAAATTAGGAGAAAAGATTTATTGAGGTGGCTTAATTTCCACAGAGACTTGTGAGAAATGAAACAATTTTGAAAAAAGCTCCTTCGTCCCCAGTGTACCTTGGAGCAGCTGCTCCACGGTGTCTGTCTGGTGGGTGGAACCCCCACTCGGCCTGTTCCTTGATCCCAGCAATCATATTTTGGAAATAAATCCCATGCTAGAAGCCTCCCATTGCCTTGAAGCCTCCCACTGCCTTATAAAAACTTTGTGTTGAGATTGGAAATGTTAGAAGGCTTCAAGAATCGCAGAGAACTGAGGCCTAAAGTGCTTTAGTGCAAGATCACACGAGCAAAATCTCAGGCTAACATCTCATGTGATATTGCACCACAGTACTTTAGGTCTGTGTTCTTTTAAGGACTGAGGGCTGCATGAGATCCAGGGCAAAAGTCTTTGGAAACAAAGAGGCCTTCCTTCTCTTCGCAAAGCGTTTTGCCCTGGATCTGGTGCAGGCCTTGGTTAGCAGAGAACAGAGGCCGAAAGCACTGTAGTGCGAGAACACGTAAGATCAATAGTGCTAGATTTCCCACTACTGATCTCACGTATCTCTCACAACTTTAGGCCACTTTTTTTCTGCAAATGCACCAAAGCAGGCAAGGGAACCGATGGCTCGCCACATCATCACAAGGTACCGTATTTTTAGGATTATAAGACGCGCTGGACACACATATAAGACACACATAGGTTTAGAGAAGGAACACAAGGAAAAAAATAGTTTTGGCCTCCGCACATCCCATTTTTGCCCTCCCGGGTGTCCAGGTGCACTCTGCACAAAAAACGGAAGGCTCATTTTTGGCTTTCCAAACCCTCTGCACATCCTGTTTTTTCCCTCCCCAGCATCCAGATGCACTCTGCAGGCCAAAGACGGACCAGTTTTTAGCCCCCCATTTTTGACGTCCCATTTTCAGCCTCCCCAATGTCAGGCAGGCCAACAGCAGGCCCATTTTTGGCCTGCTGAGTGCTTCTGGATGCCAGGGAGGGTGAAAATGGGACGAGCAGAGGGTTTGAGAGGCCAAAAATAGGCCCGTATTCCCTCTATAAGATGCACAGATAGTTCCACTTTTTTTGGGGGGGGGAGTGCATTTTATAGTCTGAAAAATACAGTAAGTCCCAGCTGAATAGGGTGGGAGGATAGATAGGTTGCAGAGCCTCTACTGTCATTTGTAAGTATGAACGATGGCCGTGGTGCCGCAATACCCATAATTTCGGGACTGGGTCTCAAGTACTTGGGGGAGGGCTGGACGTAATATGGAATGGTCGCTAGTGAACT